CTATCAGTAAATTGATTCTAATTCTTTCAGAGTCTTATGAAAATAGAATTTACTATATACTACTCGATGCATCTCGAAAAACTCTACAACATGGTGTATTTGGTTTCTCATTTTTGAATAGGAAACCTTATCGAAAAAGTCTTTTAAATATGATGATCAGAACTTTTGGTACACCCTAAGTAAATGTCGTCTCACATTGCTTAACGTGATTGACATAACTGGTTGCTTCCGTCTTAGTTAAATTATCTATTCATTCTTGTGCCAGTTTGTTCACTTCAACCAAAGTAAATTTGGTGTTTCTATCACGTATATATGTTTTCATATTGGTCCAAGCTAACTCGATAGGATTTAAGATACAGTATCTGATTGGTAAACTTAAAAAAGACAAAAACATTAATACGCGATAGATATAAAAAAGGTTGTCTCTACCGTAAGATATTAATTCGATACATTTTTGCTTCTTCGTTCACTTTATATTTCTTTGTTGGTAAATTTTTAAAGGCCAGTTGTAGCAATTCTGCCTTCGAAATTTCATTAGCATATACTATCTTATGGTGACCAAGCCAGTTAGCTATCCTTTGTTTTGTCCAGGAACGTTGAGGTGATTTTGTATCATCTGTTACTTCACAATGCCAAGAGGCATTGTCAATAATAATAGTTTTTTGAAGGTCCATTACCTTTAAAAAAAGGAATCACGAGCAATTAAATAATCAAAACTCTTACCAAATTCTTTTCATAGCATGGAACATGTTTGACCGATCCAGCGTATGAAATGCATGGAATCCATTGAGTGTTCTCGGTCGCATTGGAACATATCGATTGATGGCTGATGGAAACCATTCTCATTGATTAATGCACTTATTGCAAGACGAGATCCTAAATTACATTTTTGTGTTAGTTTTCGTGCCATAACAATTCTAAAGGAAGTTAACCTTTTCCTTGATTTGTACGTATTCTCCCTTGACCCTGCTTATCAACCCAGATGACCCGTTTCTCCTCTCCGCTGTTAAACCATGTTTCATCACTAAACGGTATAACACAACCTTAGTGACAAAAAGGACAACTAAAACTTACTGGTAGAATATTAGTGTTCCATTCCGACGTATCTCATCCAGCTTTCGAAAATATGATGCTCTTTGTGCGATGAAATCTGTTGAATCCATTGGTACACGTATTTTATTTGTTCTTCTATATGAGAATCCAATCTTCTTCATCACTCTCCAAAGTGACGTGATACTTTTCAGCGGAAAGTTTGGATTGTCGGTAAGAATGCGAGCAAGCAATCTCTCTGTATTTGGATATATTTATTCGGCTAAGAGAACATGAGAATAGTACCTAAGCAATAGAGATCAACTATTGAAACATAAAAGATAAATCAGCAGAACTAACCTAACCATGTCTTCCTCATATTCAGTTAAAGAAATTTTTAAACTGTTAGGACCGCCACGTTTTACTGGTGATCTAGCAGCTGGTCGAAGCGTATTCGTACTTTTGGATAGGTCGGTTTTTGGTATCGTGTAAGGTGACGATCACCATTGACGCAAGCGCTCGTTTTTATATTTTAGCGCAAGTACGTATGGTCGTTGTTGTTGTTGTTGTTGCTCAAGCAATTTTTGTTCGAGAACTTTTTGCTGTTCTTCTTCCAACTGATTTAACTCATTTTTCAAATTCACCAGAGATCCATGTGATATTTGAAGTGCAGCATTATACGATCATTGACATTATATAATGGCATAGTTACTTCATTCTTTTCTCCTTCGATAAATTTGATTACATTGAATATCAATTCTTTTGTCTCTTGACTGTAATGTTGGCCTTTCGGCATAATTGTACTCAATCTGAAGTGGAAAAATACACATCACAGCATTATATATCGACATAAAAAGATGACTCCCCCGTATCATTATATATTATTACGACCCCGTGCAGATACTATGCTTGGATTCTGTTTTGATGATATTCTACGTGAAAAAAAGACTCTGGAGGTTCACAAACCATGTGACGAAATCAAGGACTACTAAACATTATAGAAGAAAATATTTTTTTATCCACTCAAATTTTGAAAAAAAACTGGTTACTAGCCTTCAGTAAAATCGTTGTAGTTTTGAAATAGAAAAAGCTATCGATCTCGGCCTTGTGTGGATCGATAGAGGTAAAGATAGACTACCTATCCACTATATTATAATTAAAAAAGCATATTGTATTTATGTCAGATTTGGCTCATCTTCAAAACTCATGGTGCATTCAAAACAAAAGATGACTAAAATTTGTCATCGATCTTATGAAAAGATCAAGCAACGTTGACTCTAGATAGTTTTAAAATATTAGCTCTTTATTTCTTGTTATGATGAAGTTATTCAAAAAATGCACACGGCCATTTATGTCGGAAATGGACAATACATTGGTATCAAAATTTTTAAATGATTTATTAGCACCTATATAACGGGTGGGCCGAAAGTTTTGAGACAAAATGTTTGTCCATTTTTCACCACATCAGAAGTATTCTAGAAGGATGCAAAAAGGTGGACAAGAATCAGAATTTAATGCTCTTTCCGAATATGAGTTCAGAAATTCTGTGCCTATTTTTGTTTGGAAGCAACGATGAAATCATTGAATTGCTTTGAAAGTTAGTTTGGACAAAAATATGTTTTGTACATTTTTGTATTTTTACTTCTAATTCGAAACTTAATGTTGTAATTTTGGTTCATATATCAGATTGTAGAGCAAATTCTGCCCTACAAAATGCGCTATTTCAGTTTCTTTTTATTTTCTTACAAATCATCGAAATTTTCGTTTCCTTATTACCCTCATTTTTGAAAAATCGATTTTTTAACCAAAATCCAACTCATGTAAAAATAGCTTCTCAGAAAATGTCTATAGTTTTACTTGTATAAAAGCTATATTGGAGTTCGACATCTCGTTTTGTAGAGGACTGTCTGCTCTACAAAATTACCATACTCAACCGTTTTTAGCATCCTCGCATAGGACTCACAGAAGAAAAAATGCCGATGTGTTCATTAACCAATCCAATTTTCGGGCATATTCAAAGATTGTCTCACTACTCTCGTACAAAGTCAAATACAAAATTGTTGAGCCCATATTCAGAAAGAGCACAAAATTCCGATCATAACCTGTAGTTTTCATTCGTCTACAATAGTTTTACGTAGGGCAAAAATAAAGAGAATATTGTCCAGATGATTCGACTCAACCATTTTGTCCAGACTATTTTTTTATGCATTTCAAAGATTTTCTTGCTTCTCCCTTACAAAAATAGATATAGAATTTCTGAACTCATATTCGGAAAGAGCATTAAATTCTGATCCTTATCCACCTTTTTGCATTCATCTAGAATACTTTTGAGGTGGTGAAAAGTGGACAAACATTTTGTCTCAAAACTTTCGGCCCACCCGTTATTTGAATGTTGCTCGGGAAATGACATTTATTAATGGCATTGACGTAGTTAGAAAATTAGAAAAGTACGTTTTAGATGGACACTTTCAAGTTACAACAAAGTTTATCGTAATTGATGTGACTGATCTGTACACGATGATACCTTGTGAAGGTACACTACATGCATTGATGCGATTTTTAGAAAACAATTCATACCATGGAAAAATTGGTATATTATCCATTGATGCTATTATGAGAATGGCTCGTTTAATATTAGATACAAATTATTTTGCTTATGAAAACAAATATTATAAACAAACCCGTGGTAGTGCTATGGGTTCAGTATTTACACAAGTACTGGCTAATATCTATATGCATGAATAGGAGCAAGATTTGATCCAATATCAAGCAGTACACAAAGGAATATACGGAAGGTTTGCGAAATATTTACTAAATAAGTCCAGTTATCTTACCTTATACATATATCTCTGCAGGTACATAGATGATATATTCATGACAACTAACGAGAACATACATGCAATTAAAATACAACTCGAAAAAGCTTCTAACAGAGATACCAATATCCAAATTAACTATGAAATTAATACATCAGTTAACTTTTTGGATGTTACAATAAACAATGAGAATGGTCATTTAAAAACATGTCTTTATCACAAAACAACAGCTGAACCTTATATATTACCATACACCTCCGGTCATCCACCACACGTTCATCGCAATATACCTTTTGCTGCTTTATTACGTGCTGCGCGTATTTGTTTCGATGTGCATAATTTCAACAGAGAACGTATTCGTATCGATCGCTCACTATTACTAAACAATTATCCACCAAATTTTATAAGGAAACAATTCGATAGATTCTTTCAAGTAAATAATGCCATACCGGTTCTTGATAAATGGAATTCTCAAGTTTATCATCGGCTTCATGAACAATTATTCCATCAACCTACACGACGTGAAAAGCAACTGCAAGCTATGGTACAAGATCCGATTCGATCACCCACAGTATTGCAACAGAAGATATGGGATTCAAACAAAATGTACCCGCGTTATGTTTTCGACGGTTCCACATCTACGGATTTTCAGAAACAATTTTACAAATGGTGGCGAAGTTGTTATGGAAATACCGCATCTCCTTTGAAAAGCATTACAGTTCGACTAGCAGCTACGACAAACCAGACACTTAAAGTATTCTTAATACATAAAAAACCACCAAAAGAAATTCTGACACGTATGGAGCATGGTTAGACATGATCTCCATTCAAGTACCAACAACGGTCTACAATATATACAAAAACATTAATAAACATATTTCTTTCCATTAAAATAAGACGTCATTGTAACTTCTGTTAAAATTTGCCAAAATAAATGCGAGTTCATCTGCGAATCTTTTCCATTCCTAGATCAGCCGAAAATTTATCGGGATATCTATTGTAACATACTCCCTTGATATACTCTATTCTAGATAAACATGATTTCCTACCCCATGTCCTTTGAATCGACTAAAAATTGCTGATTAATCCCGATTCATCGAAACGATAATCGTGAGCTGAATCGCGATAGAATCGCCGATTATTCCCGATTATTTCAGCGATTTTTACGATAAATCGTGATTTTATGCAAGATTTAACCGTCTGTTTACTGATATTTTCTACTATTTCATTGGTTCTTTTGGAGACACATATTTGGATTTTTTCTTGAATTTAATTCAATTTTCTTTTGTTCTCAAGATCCAAGCCGACCAGATCGTGCGATCTGTCCGATCTCGAGCTGGTCCGATTCTTATCAGACCGCTTCAGTGTAGTCCTCTCAAGATTATGGATCGGGATTGGTATTTCCTTCATTAAAAACAACCAAGAAATAATTTATCAGAAAAGTATATTTCAAAAACTTATTTCTTATGCATTGAACGGCGTTGTTCATATATCCGTGTGAGTTCATAACAAAACGGTGAATGAATAATTGTCATGATTTATCAATGATTTTTGAAAATCAGCTCTTCTCCCATAATCGCGATAAAATCTGATATAATCGTCGATCTTTTAAAGAAAGCTTGTTAGCGCAGCTCCTGCGGAGCTGAAATGTGGAACTCACGTATACCTTTAACTTTGTTACCTGACGCATCATCTGTATACTGAAAGACTTCTCATCAACTATAGTTGTTTTCCTTGAGAATCGGTGAAAAGAGCAGGAATTTATTATTTATTTGTATATTAAAAAAATATATTAAAAAAGAAAATATTTTTTTTTCATTTAAGCGCGCTCGATTTCATTTATAATTATTGCTATATACTCGATAATAATCTTTTTTTTTATTTTCTAATTTGAAGTTATTTTTCTCCACCATCGACTAATTGATGAATACGGTTGTTGCAGTCTGTAATGGGGTGGGGGGGGATGCGTATGTAATGTTCTTTTTTGGTTGCTATGGTCTGTAAGGGGGGGGGGGGGGGGGCGGTGGGGAGAGGGGGGGGGGTCGGGTGGGGGGGGGGGAGCCGCAAAATCTCGAACTTAAAACTTACACTCACTATTTTCTTCGAAAATATACGTGAGTTCCACAAAATACGATAAATCACGATTTTACGCCAATTTTTTAGAAAATCGCGAAAATCGCTGTGATTCTCACGACATGGGACATAACAACAAATCTATCACATGCAACCTAGAAGTTCCGACACATATGCACCATCAATAAACCATACGAAAGAATCAAAACCAACGTCACCATGTTCAAACCAACAAGCTCCGCAAGAATAAAACATACTTGCATTATTATCCAAAGTTGATTAGATGCCCGATCCAGCCATTCCATAGACCATGGATTCCAACATTTCAGCACTGATAAGATGCATCACTTAAATCGTGAAAACAACAAAAATTGCTCAATCAAACTTTTTCCTCAAAACGTTTGAAACATTCTCCTACTCATTTGCAACTATACTCAACCTTCATCACACTTCATCTGAAAAACAGACTGATAATATAACGACATGCCCAAACGTCGAAGCATGTTCTATAATTGCTTACAGTATCGGTAATACAAGATTTACGTCAACTTCATTTCAACTGACCATGGTTTCTCACAAACTCCTCTCACCTTCAATAGAAACTGTATTAAAATACCATTCACATTGGAATCCTACAAAACATCTCAATGAAAATTTCTCCCGAATATCAAAGCTTGTCAGAAATGCTAATTTAGAAGTAATATATTCATACATTATAGACATACCCGACAAAGATCCTTTGATAACAGGCCACAACCACTCCCATCAATCCATTCATTCCACCTAGTCCCATGCTCAACAAACACCGATAACTAGATTGCAATTATTCATGTAAATCAACAAAACACTCACTTGACGATTAATACTCTCCACTAACAGGATCTTCTAACGCATATCACACAACATATGTAACATCTATTCTTCTTCCGGTCAATTTCACTTTACCCAGAATCAACTGAATAATGATGAAAACAGCAAACCAATTGTAATTAAAACAAAAATAAGGTCACACCATCACAAATATATCATAGATCGCATCAAACGTCAGCAGAATAATCAACTCAAGCCACTTCGACTCATTCTTATGCACATTAACTCATTACAACTTCAACCGTAGCAGCGAAACTATGTCCCAACATAAAATACCTGCTAAGAATGTTACATTGCCCACAATACACCATTCCAAACATCACTCACCTCAAATTAATTCGTATTCCACCCATAACCATCAAATTCAAAATTTGTCTGACGAGTCCCTTAAGCAAGGACGAAACCGGTCGCATATAGCTTTGGATAAAAAATTGAGATATAAATTAACACACCCACACCCACACCCAAAAATTCACCCTTTCTTAGCATAGCAAGTAAGATTATAGAAACCATAATGTTATGTCATGAGATGTCTCTCCTGACATAAGGAGGTGATATATATTCCCTCATGATATCATCATTGAATATGGATGGCATTCGTTCTCTTCTTTCTCAGTCGTATGCATAGCAGACAAAGAATGGAACAAGAGAGAGCAGGGAATAAGTGTAACAATTCTTGAGTTTATTATTCAAGAGAATGTCCCATCTTCCACCTCGTCCACTTTTTATATAGCGAGCGGGAGAGAGAAAGAGAAAATATCCCATAATAAGAAAAGAAAGAGAACAATCATTGAGCATAAACAAAGGAGAGCAGAAGCATACAATAGACTCAGTGATGTAACCCTTATATAACATATAAGGTTACATTGAACACGATGAGTGATAGATATCCTTATATCCCCCTGGCCAAAATAAGTGGAACGCAGTATTTTTTCGATTGTTTCGTTGCAGTATTATCTATAGGGCTCATATTTATGTCACTGATAGACGATCGATGACTGGACTTATGCTGAAAATTTCAGCCCTATAGAAAGAAAACTTCTCGAGAAAATTACAAATCTGTCTGATGTACTCATGTGCCACTGAAACCAAAATTTAGTGTTTTACTTGTTTTTCTGTCATTTTAAGTTCTATTTCGAATCTCAAGTGGTAGTTAGTTAACTAATATACTTGACTATAGACAGAGATATCTTTGGCGTTCTTTATATATCATTTGGTCAATTATATGACACAATGTAGTCCAATACGCGCATTGAGAAAACCACTTCGATGTCTCATGATCAATGACAACTTTCGTCATTACCAGAGGGAAACCACTGAAAGAAAAGCTTTTGTAGTTTTGAATGTATTTCAATTATATTTTTATCAATAATTCAATTTCTCTAATGCTATTGTTAATCAAATTGGATCGTCGTATGAAGATCCCTGGTCATGTATCTATAGAACAAAAATGCAAGGTGACGGTCTTGGCCTTCTCTTCACTATAACTTAACCTACCATTGACCATATGATGTATGCAGAACGCCAAAGATATCTCTATCTACAGTCAATTATATTAGTTAACTAACTACCACTTGAGATTCGAGATAGAACTTAAAATGACAGAAAAACAAGTAAAACACTAAATTTTGGTTTCAGTGGCACATGAGTACATCAGACAGATTTGTAATTTTCTCGAGAAGTTTTCTTTCTATAGGGCTGAAATTTTCAGCATAAGTCCAGTCATCGATCGTCTATCAGTGACATAAATATGAGCCCTATAGATAATACTGCAACGAAA